ACCATTCCACCAGTCACTATGATGCATTTGACCAGCAGGGGGTAGACGCTCCAACCGGTAGGTTAACTTGCTGCTGGGTTCTGGCTTATTGGGACTGAGCAATGTGGACCAAACATGCCCTGAAGTCCTCCTGGGGTCCTGGGGTCCCTCTCTGGCCCCGACTGGAACTGGATGATATGGGTTGAACACCCTCTGGAGCCCTCCCGCGATCCCACCCTGGCTGGCCAATCTCCTGCAGTCCCTCCCCAACTGCCCAACCTCCTGCAGTCTCTCCCCAGCCAGTCAGCCACTAATTGCTGGCCAGGCCAAGGGACCCCACTGGTTCATGAAACCGTGCATGGGGCCTCTAGTTATGTAGTTTGTACATAACTAGAGGCCCTGTGCATGGATTCGTGCACTGGTGGCGGGTGTGGCCTGTAGGGACTGGCTCGCTGCAGAGCACTTCTCATCCCAGCCAAGCAGCTGTGGACCTACCCTCTGAGCAGCTGCTCCTGCTGTGGGAGAACACTTGCCACCAGGAGGCAGCTCCTGCATTGAGTGTCTGCCCCATGGAGGTCAGTGCATGTCATAACAACTGGTCGACCATTGTTCTAGTCGTTCTGCCATTTGGTCACTGGGCTTTTATTATATAGGACTAGAGGCCTGGTACAAGAAATTCATGCACAGATAAGGTTCCTAGGCCTGGCCAGCGATCAGGGTTTATCAGGGCTTTCTGGCTGTGAGCCAGGGCCACCCTTTCCCGGCTACTGACCGGGGCCTTCCTTCATTCTCTGCTACCCCATGGTGGTCAGTGCACTTCATAATGAGTGATGGGTCTCCTGGTCGAACGCCCGCAGGGACAATTTGCATATTAGGCTTTATATACAGAGATACTTCTATTAAAAAACAAAACTGAGACCTAGCCAGTGTTCCACAGTGGTTGGAACATCAGCCCAAGCACCAAAGAGTCATGTTCCATTCCTGGTCAAAGGTGCCTACCTGAGTTGCAGACTCAGGGCGGGTGTGGAAGGCAACCAACAAATCTCTCTCTTCCTCTCCCTGTCTCTTCCACTCTAAGGATCAGTGGAAACATTATCCTCTGTGAGTATTAACAAACAAAAAAACAAAACCTGAGCAATCTATTTTTTTGTAAAAACAGACTCTACAAGTGCTTTTATACACATACTAGAGGCCCAGTGCACAAAAATTTGTTCACTCGGGGGTTCCCTCAGCCTGGCCTGTGCCCTCTCGCTGTCTGGGACACCTCGGGGAATGTCCAGCTGCTGGCTTAGGTGCGCTCCCTGGGGGATGGGCCTAAGCTGGCAGTGAGACATGCCTCTGGCAGCCCGGGAGCTCTCGGGGGGGGGGGGGGGGGTGTCCACTTGCCAGCAGGGAGCAGGCCTAAGCTGCAGTCGGACATCCTTAGCACTGCTGAGGAGGCGGGAGAGGCTCCCGCTACCACTGCTGTGCTGGCAGCCATCAGCCTGGCTTGTGGGCTGAGCAGAGCTCACCCTGTGGGAGTGCACTGACCACCAGGAGGCAGCTCCTGCATTGAGTGTCTGCCCCCTGGTGGTCAGTGTGTGTCATAGTGACCAGTCATACCTAGTCATTCTTCTGTTAGGGTCAGTTTGCATATTACTAGTTTTTATATAGGATAGAGGCCTGGTGCATGGGTGGGGGCCAGCTGGTTTGCCCTGAAAGGTGTCCTGGATCAGGGTGGGGGTCCCGCTGGAGTGCCTGGCCAGACTGGGTGAGGGGCTGATGGCTGTTTGCAGGCTGGCCATAACCCCTCACTGCATGGGGGTGTGACCATCTTGGGTGAGGGGCTGATGGCTGTTTGCAGGCTGGCCATAACCCCTTCAGAGTGGAGGTCCCTACTGGGGTGCCTGCTAGCCTGGATGAGACGCTGAGGGCCATATTCAGGCTGGCCACACCCCCCGGCAACCCAAGCCTCAGCCTGTCCTTTTTTTTTCTTTTTTTTTCTGGGATTTATATATCTTCTATAATTGAAACTTTGTAGCATTGAGTGGAGCCCAGTGCCCGCCAGGGCAGGCAGGAAGCTTGGCTTCCTCCATCACCGGGGCAACCCAAGCCTCCTGCTCGCTCCAGCCCCATGGCCATTACCATCTTTGTGTTGGAATGACAGAGTGATGGTTAATTTGCATATTATTCTTTTATTAGATAGGATATATAGTAAGATAGTATGTACACCTAAAAAGTGAAAATTTCTATATTCTTAAGTCACTACTTTTACTATCTGGACCAACTGTCTCCATAAAGCTTACATTTAGGTTAATCTATATACAAAGTCTAACTCTCTTGGCTCTGGCCAAGATGGTAAAACAAATATTATAAAAGGAATAATTCCTCAACAATATATGAAATGGGTTATTTTTTTAATTAAATCTTTATTGTACAGATTATTACAGTTGTTCCTCTCCCCCCCCCATAGCTCCCCTCCACCCAGTTCCCACCTTACTTTCTGCCCTTACCCCTGCCACTGTCCTCATCCATAGGTGTATGATTTTTGTCCAGTCTCTTCCCGCACCCTCCACGCACCTTCTTCCCTGAGAATTGTCAGTCCACTCCCTTTCTATGTCCCTGATTCTTTTATATTCACCAGTTTATTCTATTCATCAATTTATTTATCTTCTTAAAGGATACCTTTCAGCATTTCATATAATACTGGTTTGGTGGTGGTGAACTCCTTTAGCTTTTTCTTATCTGTGAAGATCTTTATCTGACCTTCAATTCTGAATGATAGCTTTGCTGGATAAAGCAATCTTGGTTGTAGGTTCTTGCTATTCATTACTTTGAATATTTCTTGCCA